CAACAGTGTCAATTTTGTGAAAAGTAGCATGAGAAAACAAATAGTGACTCTTCTCGGGCTTTCCACTTCAAAGATTTCAATATATAGTTTTGTAGTTTTTTTTTTTTTGATTTATATATTTTGTTGTTGTTGAGAATATACACAGCAAAATATATACCAATTCAACAGTTTCTACATGTGTCATTCAGTGACATTGATGACATTCTCCAAGTTGTGCAACCTTCTCACCCTCCTTTTCTGAGTTGTTCCTCCCCCATTAACATAAACTCACTGCCTTCTACGGTTCCTATGTAATCTTTCGAGTCACTTTTGTCAGTTTGATCCCATATAGATAGATCTTGAAAGAGCACAATGCTCAAGGCAGACATTCTTTACTAGTTAATTGTCTTAGTCATCTAGTGCTGCTATAAGAGAAATACCACAGGTGGATGGCTTTTAACAAAGAGAAATTTATTTTCTCACAGTCCAGTAGGCTACAAGGCCAAATTCAAGGCATCAGCGCCAGGGGAAGGCTTTCTCTCTCCGTCGGCTCTGGAGAAAGGTCCTTGTGATGCATCAGTCTTCCCTTGGTCTGGGAGCGTCTCAGCACAGGAACTTCAGGTCCAAAGGATGCACTCTGCTCCCGGCACTGCTTTCTTGGTGGTATGAGGTCCCCCTGTGTCTCTGCTAGCTTCTGTCTTTTATATCTCAAAAGAGATTGGCTTAAGACACTATCCAATCTTGTATACCTCATCAGTATAACTGCCGCTAATCCATCTTATTAGATCATAGTGATTGAATTTACAACACATAAGGAAATCACATCAGATTACAAAATGGTACACAGTTATACAGTACTGGGAATCATGACCCAGCCAAGTTGACAGATATTTTTGGGGGACATAATTTAATCCATGACATTAATCTAAACTAATGTTGAGTTTTAAGAAGACTTCAGGGTATATTTTTGGTTTAAGTTTCAAAGATTATCTCAGGGCAATAGTTTCAGGGGCTCATTCAGCCCCCATGGCTCCAGAGAGTCTGGAGTCCCTGAGAATTTGAAATCCTGTTCTGCAGTTCCCCACTTTTGATCAGGGTTCTTCTATAGAATCTTTGATCAAAATGTTCAGTAATGGTAGCTGAGTACCATCCGGTTCTTCTGATCTCATGGCAAAGGAGGCAGTTGTTCATGGAGGCAAGTAGCCACACATTCCATATCCTCCATCTATTCCTGACTCTCTTTCTTCCTCTGTTGCTCCAGGTAGGTCATTTTATTTTAGTTACCTGATGTCCTTTTCTAACGATTGGTCTTTCCTGATGATGTGTCCAAAGCAAGCAAGGTGAAGTCTCGCCATCCAGTTCTATTTCTTCTAAGACTGATCTGTTTGTTCTTCTGGCAGTCCACGGTATATTCAGTATTCTTCACCAACACCACAGTTTGAATGCATCGGTTCTTCTTTTGTCTTCCTTTTTCTAAAACTAAGAGCATTCTTTTATATAACTACCAAACCGTAATTATACAACATTAACAGTAACTTAATAATATCATCCGATGTCCAGTCCATATTCAAATTTCAACCCAGAATTCCAGCAAGGTGCACACCTTGCACGTTACTATTTTGCCTCTTTTGTCTTTTATTGAGAGCAGTTCCCTGCCTTTTTTTGTTTCTGTGACATAGATTTTGTTGTTGTTGTTAATTTGAAGAGGGCACGCCAGTCTCACATTCTGGATTTGTCTGATTGCTTCCTCGTGATTTGATTTGGTTTAAGTTGTTTTTGGCAACATTCTGATGTAAGTAGTGTAATGACATCAGTTTGTCTGACCTTGTTGGTGATAAACTCCATCACTTGGATGAGGTGTCCAGACCAGAGCACTCGACTGTAAAGGGACATTTTCTCAGTACATCATCTGTGGAGTGATTCTTTGAGACTGAGTGAATTTTCTGTTTTCCAGCAACCATTAACCCAGGGTTTTAGCATCTATTGATAATTATTGTCTGAACTAATTATTACATTAAAAAACCAAAAACCCATTGCTGTCAGGTCGATTCCAACTCATAGCGACCCTATAGGACAGAGTAGAACTGCCCCATAGGGTTTCCAAGGAGCCACTGGTGGATTTGAACTGCCGACCTTTTGGTTAGCAGCTGAATGCTTAACCATTGCACCACCAGGGCTCCAGTTATTACATTGGGGGTTTGCAAAATGCTGATTTTCTAATTCTGTCCTTTCTACATTTATCACTACAGAATAATGGAATTTTCTTTCAGTGTTTTGTAACCCATGTTGTCATTATTCTCTTTGTGTAATATGCTTTTAAAGGTCCCTTTTGCCATTTTCCTTTCTTTTGAAGATGTTTCTGTGAGCTTCGGGGGCAGGGGATGTTGGTATTTGCTATCTCCCCCAGTGTGATAGTTAGGGAAACTAGCACAGGAAATTAATCACTTTTTCAAGTTTGTTTAAGGTCCAGTGTGGTCAGTGATGAAGTCTGAATTCTGGCCTGGCAGTCTCACTAATCAGCATTTATTTCAGCAGACACAATGGACTTGTACAGTTTTAGCCATTTAATGCTCATTTTTTATTGGAATTAAATACGCATGCATAGAATATTTTCAAGTAAAAAATGGTATTGTGTCAGGGCTTTAAGGCTTTCTTTTCTGGTCTTTTTGCACCAACATTAAGGGATTTTTACTTTTCAATTATGTACTTTGGCTACTTTACTGGAAAAAAAAAAACAACCTAATCTAATGTAGACTCTATTTAAATAGCTTCAGATTCAATTCGTCCTTATCAACGTACACAGAGACATTTTGATGCTGTTGTGATCAGTGTGTAATCAACTAGTTGCTGTCGAGTTGACTCTGACTCATGGAGACCCCATGTGTGTCAGAGTAGAACTGTGCTCCATAGGGTTTTCTATGGCTGCTTTTTTGGAAGTGTACCTACCTGCAAATTGTTTCAGTATATGGTGTGAGGAAGGGATTTAATCTACCTGCAAATTGTTTCAGTGTATGGTGTGAGGAAGGGATTTAATCTACCTGCAAATTGTTTCAGTATGCGGTATGAGGAAGGGATTTAATTTTTTCATATGGTTAAAGGAATTTGCCCAGCCTTGTTTACTGGACTTTGAGTACTTGTAGTCCTTTTTCATATTAACTCCTAATAAGAGATGAGTTTGACTAATTTGACTTTAATTAAATGACAGTCTATTTAAAATTGTGTTTTCTGGGTTTTTTTAATATATCATTATTTTATATAGACACAAAGTAGAAATTTGTTATTTTAATACCTATATTGTGAAAGGACATCATGTTTAGTAAAGTAGAGGGTCAGCAAAAATGAAGGCAACCCCCAATGAGATGGATTGATGCAATAGCTGTAACAATGGACTTAAGCATACCAACAATCGTGAAAATGGCACAGGACTGGGCAGTGATTTGTTCTGTTATACATGGAGTCGCCACGAGTCAGAGCTGACCCGACGGCAGCTAACAACAACAACGTTCCAATGCGAGACTGCCTTTGTTTGCTTTTCCACCCCGTTTACCTCGGTATGATGAAGATATAGCAGACGGCATTTTGTAAATTGATTTCGCAGTGGAACTTCAGTTTTCCCAAAGAAGTTGTTCACATCCCTTTCCCTCAGACTGTCCACTTTACCCCCAGGAGGCATGACTTCTTCAAGCAGGTAGTCATTTAAGTATTTAATAAAATCGAAGGTGAAGCGAGGGCTGCTGTGAATGGTTATGCAGGTGCGTACTGCACAATCCACTGTTTACATTGTAGTGTTTGTAAATAGTGCTCCTGGTGGTGTGCAGTGTACAGACTAGATGGCCTTATATACATGACCTTGTAAGTAGCATTGTTTTTATAAGTTGAAAGTAACAGAATTTTGGTAGAGGAGGCAATTTACATGTATGGTTGGAGCAGTGGTGTCACTATGGGGGTACGGGGGGTTCAGATGTGTGTGACCCCCGACACTGTCAGAAAGGTGACACCAAAATGACCCTAGGGTTTGCGGCGGCGGTGGGGGCATTTGTGCCATTGGGGGAGGGCCACCAAGGCAGTGGTGTCACTAGGGTTGGTATCACCTGTCACCACCCCCACCCCCCCCCGTCACCCACCAGTCAGGGTGTGGGTTACCAGGCCGAGGTACCTGCCACTGGGCAGAGAAGAGGGTCTCTGCCTTGGCCAATGGGAGAGGGGAGGAGATGTGGGGAGCTGTGGGGGGTGGAGCAAGGAGGGGTGGGGCCGTGAGGCATGGCTACCATGGGATTGGTTCCGCCAGCATGCCCCGCTCACCCTGGGCGTGGGTAGGGGTGAGGAGTGGGGAGTGGAATAACACCATAAGTTACTGTACTGGATAACACCAACCGTAGTGACACCACTGGGTTGGAGGTGAATGTCAAACTTTACCCTTCTAGTAAGAGAATTAAAAATAGAATCAGTTTTTATCTTTCTGCTTAAAATACCTTATACCTGGAATTTCTGGAGCATGGTCAAGTTTCAACAGTGGTTTCAGAAGCCATTTTTTAATTGACCATAGTCTTGAAATTTAAAAGAGTGTTAGTCATTGTAGGCTGACTGTGGCAACAGACAAGATTGCAATCTCAGTGGTTTAAGACAATAAAGGTTTATTTCTTGCTCACCTTACGGCCAGTGTGGATTGCAGCAGGGGTGAGCTCTGCTCCACATAGTCACTCAGAGACCTAGGTCTTTACATCCACTTGCTCCTGAGTCAGTCCTCTGTGGCCTCAAAGTCCTTCACTGGCTCCTTTGTCTCTGGCCGGCAGGTGAGAAGACATTATGGGGCAATGCACAGGGACCTGGGGTGGCGTCCACCGCCTCCACCCAAAGGCCATTGGCCAGAGCTCACTCACTTGGCTCCACTCAGCCACAAGGGAGGCTGGGAAATGCTGTCTACCTGTGTGCCCAGGAGGAAAAGGACTTGGTTTTAGGGATGGGCATGAGTCAGTATTACAGGGGTGACCTCTTCTTTCTCTCTGTTTTTTCTTCTCCAGGAGACTTCTTGGCATCATCACGAAAAAGGATGTTCTGAGACATATGGCCCAGATGGCAAACCAGGACCCTGAATCCATCATGTTTAATTAGCAACACGGTGGCAATTATTTAGAGAAAAACACAGTGACGGTGTCATTTTTAAAGAAATAAACAAACGATACATTATTATCCAGATGAAAGATCGTGCACCAGGACAGCGAAAACAAAAGCTTTGGTTGAAAAGGAGGGGGAGAAGGATGAAACCTTTTTCTAAAAAGTATGCATCAATGAGTAGGCATTTTATAGCTTTAACCCCTTATGAGTTTCCAGCTGTGTTTCTTAATGAGTTTACTAACTGCTATGGGGGCATGTGGATGGGTGTAAATGATGTGGTTTGTACAAGGACACTGAATGCACATGCCAAATGGAGAAACCTTTCCCCCACCTGCTCAAGGCTGATATTTGTAACTTAGGAACACGTGTGAAGCTTTGAGTCCAAAAAGTCAAGGGGTGTCGGCATGTAAGCATCCTTATTTATTAATTCCTGAAGTTTTGCTGCTATGTTACTGAATGATACTAAAGACATTTGCACTCACTTTGTTGGAAAGGAAAAAGAAATTAAATTTGAACATAGTGAAAGCTGCAAGTATACAAATGGGTCCACTCTTGACCATCCCATTTCTTGCTCCTGTTCTCAGCCTATTCTTTTGTTCACTCATCCGTTTCTGAACCAACACCAATGGCGCTGGTACAATGAGTATGAAGAAATCATGTCCGTATGCAAGACCTGAGTCTTGGGACTGCGTGATGAACTATTGTAGCATTTACTGCTGCTCTGTATTTCCTCCCATACAAAGAGATGCATCCTTATTTTGGAGTTATACATCCTTGATCACTGATTCGCAACCCTGTTGCATTTGCTTCATTTCTCTATTGCTGTTTGTCTATGCATTCTTAACCAGTCCAGCATTTTCCACGGACCATGGCCTATATACTCCCATAAACGTGCTTTAATTTCCAAGTAGAGTATACAAGAATCAAAACAGGCTACTCAGCGTTATTACTTATTTTTCCTCCCCGGTCTTATCAAATACGGCTGCAGAGAGGGTGAGGCATACGAGTTCTCAGTGGGAACTCCTCCAAATGGATTGCAAGAGAAGTACTAAATTGATTCTAAATCAGTTCCATTCTCTTCTCTGTGGGATGCAAAACACCCAGCTTTAATGTATAAGCATGCACTTTCATACTAGCAATCAAAGCACAGAAGGACAGAGTTACATTTTAGACAGCCCATTTAAGCGTTAGGCATCTCTGCATTTGAATTTAATGATACATTCTTTTAGTCAGGACTACTGTCTTTCTGTGGGAAGGAATTCAATTATATTTTAGGTCCACTGTAGAATGATGATCATAAGATTTATCCCATTTGCCCCTTCACTTTTAGTCTTTGTCCCTCCCTTTTTATTGAATCATCCTCATCCTTTTCAATCTCATTGTCATTGAAGACCCTATGGTGCACAGTTCTACTCTGACACACATGGGGTCGCCATGAGTTGGAGTCAACTCATTGGCAACTGATGGTGGTAGTGCTGGTCATTAGATTTGATATATTAGGTGTGCATTTGGCTGCAAATAATGAGACCTGGTTGGGGGATGGGGGGCACTCCAAGACTGTCTCAGTAATATCATCCAGGATCCAGACTCCTTTGATATTTCATTTCCACCATACTTACCTTTGTTCTTTGGCTTATTGCCTTATAGTTGCAAGATGCCAGGAAGAGGGAAGTAACAAGGTGTATTATCAAGAAAGCAAAGCTTTCAATGACTCTCAGCTTATACCCATTGGCTAGGTTTCTGTCACATGGCTCCCCCTGGCTACATGTGAGTATGTGAAAGGGGTGTTTTAGTTAGGCACATGATTCTGAATGAAATCATTGTGTCGCTATCATCACTTCCTGTCTTTACTCTCTTGCCCAACTCTTCCAAACACTCAACTTTAAACTTTCCACCCAACACTTCTCAGATTTGACATAGAACTCCCAATCAGCATCCATTGTTTCTACCATCTTAGCTCTAATAAAATTTTTCATTTTGGATAAAAACCTACTTATAAGTGGGGTTTCATGAAACTTCTAGTCAGTGGGACAGAATATACTGATAGATTCTCTGGGTTAAAAAATTTTGTCAGATCATGCAAACTATGGAAAATTTCTTTCTGTAATTAATTGATCCCTTAAAAATAATATCAAGTAGCCACTTCTGTGTGGAAATATACAGTCAGTAGTAAAGCAGTTTATCTTTGGTCCTACAATGGAATGAAATTTGTTGCCTAGTTCCTAGCACCTATGTATTGCGTATCAGAGCCTCACATTGGCGTTGTCATTAGGGTTTCCACAGAACGTTTGCAAGTGGAGCTGGATTCGCCTGAACTTTGAATTTTAAAAGCCTTCAGGATTGCTTCTTGTAGTTCCCGTCTTATTCCCACCTGGCTCTCCTGAGAGTTTGGCCACAGTGGGGAAGAGAGTATTAGTCATGGTCTGGCTTTATAGAATCCAGAAGACGCTTTGTGCTGAAAAAAGTAGTTTCAAAAGGGAACACAAAAGAGTGAAAAGATAGCCAAAGGTCACTCAACCCCCAGAATTTACTTCTACTCCAGCTGAGGCTGTGGACAAACGAAGGGATAGTTTACTCTGGGCCAAAGTCCCCAGGGGGAATTTGACAGTTCTATCTGCCTCCCCAGTGTTTGGGATAGAGATGTTCGGGAATTCATGAAAACAGTTGGGAGAGTTCTTGACTTCAATGATCCAGCCTTGTTTTCCTTCGCCAGTGGAAACTCTAATTTGTCGTAGAGTTCAGGCTGTCCTCAAGAGGCCAGGGTCAGGTGGGTGGGTGAAGGTCAAGATGGGGGAGTCTTCAGTGGGGACCACCACAGTGCACTGCCTTCCTCGCATGAAGCCCTAACAGCCGCGCGGCGCCCTGCCTGCTGGCCCAGGGTCTCAGGCACACTCCATGGGAACATGCTGCACTGTCACTCTCTTTCAAAAAGGACGTGGGTCTGGATTCTGAGGGTATAAGCGTTTCCAAATGCAGAACTTCCGTCCGCTTTCCCTGGTGGGGTGATGAGCCACATGAGGAGAACCGGGACGGTTAGGCGAAATAAACAGCTTTTAGAATGTTTTCTTAAAACCAAAGGCTTTCGACATACGTAGAACTTTCTGGACTCTTTCTAGATCAGTTCTTAATGTAAAAAACAACAAAAAATAAATACAAAGTGAAAAAAGTTCTCTAACGAGGCACATTAACCTATTTCTTGCCCTCCTTCTCTCTTACTAAGGAAATGTGTTGTAGGACGCCAAATAAAGGCTACCCTGAAAGTGACGTGCAGATTTCTTCTAAGTGTTTTTGAGCGCATCCCTGGGAATACAGATGTGCGCATGCACGTGGCTTTTAAAGAAAAGTAAATGTGCTGGAAGTAAATCGTTCTATATTCAGTTTTTGCTGTTGAAGAAACAGGCAGTCTCAAAGTTCCCTGTTGAGTATTTCCCAAAGACCGCTCAAAGAAGACATGTAAATAGATACATTTTGGCCCCTTAATAAGTCACAGATACTGAAATGTTTAGAGCAGTTTGTTTCACTTAAGTGAGAAGTGGTTACTTTAAATTATTAACATATGCAAATTCTACCCAGAATTCATTATCAGAGGCCGAGCTGGAGCAGATGAGCAGTCCAAGGAGGATCATTGAATTACCGCGGAATTGTACTGTTGTGCCTCATTTTAATTTTGCAGGGCCAGTGTTTTAGCAGATTCAGCTCCTAACCTTTGCGATGATTTACATGAGGAGGGAGACTGTATAGCTAACGTGGGAAACACTAACCAGACCCCGTTTTGTTACTGGCGCTGTAATAACTCTACTTGCTGTCCTAGATGTGTAGGCACGTGCTTTTTATGACAGAGTTGCATTTGGTGGTGGAACAACCCCATAGCAACGTGCTGTTGGTTTTTTTTTTAACTGCAACAGTCTGTGTAAACATTGGCACCCTATTAAAAATTAAATGTTTGAACTCTTATTTTTAAAAATAAACACAGAGTCCTCAACAAGTCTGTCGTAAACGGAAGAGATACTGATTTCACAGCCTGTTTCCCCGCTGGCACCTCCGGAAACCTGACCGTGGTGACTTGGCTGTAGTATCTGGTGAAGTTAAAGACCCACCCTTAAGATCATCTCCCAAGATCGAGAGGTTCTTTTGGTCAACTTTAAAAGCCCTTGTTTGTTTTCAACCCTACAGAAAAGTTGGGGAAAAAAAAAAAAGCGCAAAGAAAGCTCACATACCTTTCGCCTAGTTGTTAGCTGCTGTGGTGTTGACCCGGATTCATGGGACCTCACGTACAATAGAACAAAATGCTGCCCAGTCCTGCGCCATCCCCATGATCGGTTGTGGAGTTGTGCTCCGTAGGGTTTTCATCGGCTGATTTTCAGAAGTAGATTGTCAAGCCTTTCTTTCTAGTTCATCTTAGTCTGGAAGCTCCGCTGAAGCCTGTTCAGCATCATAGCAACACGAAAGCCTCCCCTGACAGACGGGTGGTGGCTGTGCATGAGGTGCATTGGCCAGGAATCGAAAGCAGGTCTCCCGCGTGGAAGGCAAGAATTCTACCACTGAACCACCACTGCCCCCCCTTGACCTAGAAGAAATGCTATTTAATCCCGGTGGTAAGAGGAGCCGCCTATGATTAGGGAAGGAGCTGGCCACCAGGATATTTGGGGATATAAAGTCCTGGGGTGGAAACTAACCTGGCCTGCTAAGGACTGTAGGGACACTCAGGGATTGGGCGGGAGTGGGAACATTTGAAGTCAGTTTTGTTTCTCTTTTCGGGGGAGCATAGAAACAGGCAGATGGCTCAAGGCCTTGTAGGGCAAGGTTTTTGTTGTTAGTTGCCATTGAGTTCATTCAAGGCTGTGATCTTTCAGAAGCAAGTCATCAGACCTGTCTTCTGAGGCGCCTCTGGGTAGGTTTGAACTGCCAACCATTTGGCTAGTAGTCGAGCACTTAACTATGTGCCACCCAAGGACTCCGTGGGGCAAGGTAAAGACTTGGAATTGAAGAGAGTGAAGTGATTTGACTTGCACTGAATAAAAATAACTGCGGCTATTGTATGGCAAGACTGGAAGCTAGGAGTCTGGCTAGAAGGCTATTGCAAATAGGTGAGTGATGATGGGGCGTTGCACCAGATACAAGGTAGAGCCAACAGGATTTACTAGTGGACTGGATGTTAAACAGTACAACCAAGTTGCCGTTTACTGGAATGGACAAGACTGGGTGAGCTCTGTTTTGGAAATGCTACATTAGAGATGCCTGTTGGACATTCCAGTCGGGAGTTCAGGGAAGTTGTTAGGCTTGGACATAGAAATCAAGCCATTAGGATATCGGTAGTATTTAAAGCCACGACTGGAAATTTACGTGGCCTAATGACAACCTAAGAGCAAACAGAACCCACATGCCAGCGGAGTGTCACCGCTGAGTTTTCAGGAAGCCACATGGATGTTGGACATTGATAGGGCTGCACGTGAATTCTGGCTCCATCGCGTCCTGGGGGTGTGACATCGTCCAAGGGATTGAATCTCTCTGAGCCTAGCTCTCCCCATCTCTGTCGAGCGAGCCACTGATCTCTGCTAGCGGCATGACCATGAGAGTTCAATAAGAGCATCACTGTGAAGTGCCTGGCAGGTAATGTGTCCATGCAAATGGTAGCCATTACTTCTCCCATTCTGAAGCCCTCTAGTAGCTTCAATCAGAAAGTAATTAATTTTGTGTTGTTAAAGGCCATATTACACTTCAGTTTAATTATAAGACCCCACAAAATCAACAGGTATTGGGTTAGCCAGTTGCCTTTCTTTCCAACACCCCCTTGCAAGGATTTTTTCAAGAAACAACCACAAAACAAATAAACAAAAAACGCAGATCTCTCAAGGGATGTCAACAAATTTCTCACTGACTCCAAATTAATGGGATATTATTAGAAAAGAAATAATTTGGTAGAAAATCCCATTTCTCTGTAGCTTCACATTGACTTGGAGAGCAGAACAGCATAACTATGTATAGATACTGAACGATTACTTAGAATCTGGAGCAAGAGGTCACAAAACACAAGAAGCTTGCTGAATTTCAGACAAAGTAAAAACCAACACCTTCCACACTTCCAGACAAAAATCTTTCCAGCATAGTGTTAATGTAGAACTGAGTCTCATTAGGAAAACTCATGAAAGAACAGCGTTTTGTGGGCCTTGGCGATTTCCCTTTAACATGATACAGTTAAAAGTCAGAGGGGGAGAGTGAACAAGCGGTGATTTGTCTGAGAGAGGACAACCCATCAGTTTTAATTCTGGGGTCTTAGCTGGAGCTAGCCAGAATGGCCTTGCAAATAAGCGTCTGGGTTGTACACGCTTCTTCAGGGGCTTTCGCGGAGTTGAGACAGGGCCAGAAACTTCCACCTCCGCCTGGGACAGCGCACTCGGGCTGAGTACTGAGGAGCCTGGTGTGCTTGTTGTTACGGCTCTCCACCAGTTCATTGGTACTTAATTGGCTAGAAAGAAGCTACCATATGTGAAGGCAGATAGGGGGGCATCTCCTTTTGGCAGTCTTCAAACTTGTATGTCATTGAAGAAACGGTTTTTCTTTCTGAATGAGCA